TTCGCAGCGTCCAAGCTTCCTGTTTACCTGTAAAGGGTCTAAATTGCTCTTGTCCTCTCCTGAGAGACCCATTCTAAAGTTTAATAATCGAGAAAGTTAAACTAACCTGGAGTTACTATTTAAACTAGCGTCTACAATAATATTATAAGAAAGTTACGACTTTTGTATTATTCATGAACGGTTGGGCATAACGAATTTGCCACTCAAAAAACTACAGTTATTTAACTCAGATAGACCATGAATATTTAACTTTTTCGATATAAAATTCATATGTAAACGAATCAAGATTCATTGATTCACGATTCGCAATTTATCTACACCCACTAGCATAATTAAGTTTTAGGGTGTAATTAAGTTATCAAGGAGCGAAGGCATGAACTCTCAAAAAAAAAAAGGATTAGTACTATCAGGCATATTTTTGCAAAATTCCGATCACATCTTTGAGTAGGCGTCAAACAATTTTAGGGTGGGCACACTCACCGGACCCCCTCCCCTACTTTAAATTATTTTTTTTACAACACAGGGGGCAAACGATCATGCGGCTCACCTGATGGTAATTGACTACCGCCGCCCATGATCACCCACAACACCAGCGGCATTGCAGGTGTGCTGCCGGCCTTTTAAAAAGGAATATACTTTTTTCTTGAAGATTATGTTGTCGTATCGGTTCGGAAATACTGCCTATATCTATATACCTATAAAAATATAGCTATATCTATAGCTCTTTCGAGATTTAAGGCCAAAATGACTTGAAAAATAAATGCGACGTCTATTTATATATGTATAAATTCATATTTAGAAGTTATGTACAGTAACATAGTTACGTTTGTGGACAATATAATTCTGAATATGAATAACCTTGACTACAACGTGTACTTGCTTAATGTTGGCGGCTTCACTGATCTTCAAAATTGATAACACGACTTTCCCTTAAGGGCCGGTTGCTTAATTTCTCTCGAGTCTCACCTTGTGTCATAATTAACTTTAACTTGAGATATAAAGTGCGCCTAAACGAATCGTTAATAGGCTTAAATCTATTTAGTTACACTTAAGAGCCGGAGAAATGTTTTCAATGGATTATAAAAAAAAAGTCTCGTAATATGTTCAATGAACCGAAAATCGACCGTGTAATTTAAATTACTAGGTTGAAAGGTCCCAAATCCGTTTTAAATGTTATGCTGTCAATTATTTGAGTATTACGCTAACAATGAGATAACAGAGTTATTTGAAAAGAACGATTTTTATTTTTAATTAAGTGATATTAGTAGAGCAAACGTCCATTCATATAAAAAGTAAATGACATAGATTGGTATAAAAAAATTGTAATTAAAATAATGTTTACAAGTCCACTGTGAATGTTTGAAATAATGATGATAACATAAAAGAATTTAATCAATAATTCCATGCAAATATGTCTGAGTAAACTGTCGGATATAACTGAGCGATGATATGTAGGTTAATACCTTCATATCATATATAGATAATTCTATACTAATATTATAAAGAGGAAAAAATTGTTTGTTTGTTTGTTTGTTTGTAATGGATAAACTCGAAAATACTCAACCAATTTAAAAAATAATTTAACCCATAGAAAGATACATTATCAGCTATTAACATAGACATGTATAATTTTAAAGAGTCTATCTACCCGTGTGAAGCCGGGTTGTAACATCATTATTAGACGAGTTCATTGTTTTTGTATTTGCAATGTACAAAAACTGCAGAATGAATTTACGGCACAATAAATTCATCTATTGATATTTATAACAATGGATTTACGAGTATTTCGTGATAGTGATGAAACAACCGAAATATTTTTTCCGCTTTCAATACAATTTTGTTTTCTAACTATTAGAAAACATCAATGACTTCGATCGCGTGATATTATTACTTATATTATTTGTATTGATTATGTATGATTTAACATATGTTTTACAAGTTCTACTTCAATATTGAGACAATTATCATAAACTACGATTACAGTCTTCTGATTAAAAAGAAATCATTTGAATTTGTTCAGAAAGATATTGCGTAATGAGTTTGTTTTTATGATACTATTTATATTACTAATACTAACTACTAGTATAGTTCGTGTAAGCTCGTTGCCTATTTCTGATTATGTGCTCTACAAATTTACTAAGGCGTATTTAGAGGGGCAACTGGTTAGGCCATGACCACACTAGAATCGTTTGGTGCCCATCCTACGATGCGAGCAAGGCCTCAAAAAGACATGTTTGTGTTTCCATATACACCTTTTTTAAAGGGCCAGAAAAATAATCTCAAATACACGAATGACTACATGAATTAATTGCAGTAACAGTGTATAATATTACTAGCTAGAATATGTAAATAATTGAAAAGAAGTAAATACTCATATTTAACACTTTTTTTCACTAAAAAGGACTAACAAATCTTAAAGTCGAGATCAGTTTAGTCAATTCATTAATGTTTCTGTAATAACAGACTAATAAGTCTGTATTTTTGTAAATGGTACTAGTAATTATGTTTATCTAGATAAACATATAACTTCGGTAGGTGCAATCTCGACCGGTGATAGCTCAGTTGGACAATTCCTGGCTACGCTTTAAGGTGAATTTTTAAATTCGTTATTAGATCTTCAATTGTTCTGTAAATTGGACACACGGAAAACCTACGTAAGTCTTCTTAATCCTCTTAAGAGGATTAAGAGGATTTTTGCTCCGGATTTACATTGGGGATGATTACCCTCAGGTCTTTGGCTTCAGTGGCTTTGATAGCTGGCTTCATCGTTGTTTGCTTCGACAATGCTTGGCTACGATTTGAGGTGAATTTTTAAATTTATTATTAGATCTTCAATTGTTCTATAAATTGGACGCACGTAATGCCATGTATCCCTACGTAAGTCTTCTTAACTCTCCTAGATGGGCTCAGGGCGATACCCTTTACTCTTGATTCATCACTGGGGATGATTACCCTCGGGTTTTTGATTTCATTTACCTTAATAGCTGGCTTCATCGTTTGGATTTTCATTAGGAAGCAGGTACGTTCACACGGATAGAAGTAGTAGTTTCCGTCACGAGCACTCGTAGTTTAATCGGACACCTGATTGTAAATCAGTGATCACAAGATCGAATTTTAGCTCAAACCGGTGAATTTATTAAATTCTCGTATAGATCATTGTAAAAGTAATTTCCACTTATTTTGTACTTTAGAGGTCGCGTAAAGTCATGTAAAACCGTCTTCCAGTAAACCACGTTAACTGTCTCAATCAATCAGGGTATATAACAGATCCTCCTAGGAAAGTTAGATTGGGTCCTCGGGGCAGACCCCTTTGCCCCAGCTTCAGCTTTGGGGTTAACTACACCCGGGTCGCTGGAACTGTGCCTCGTTCCAAAGTGAGGTGTCTCATAAAGAAGTTGTTACGAGTTTTGGTGTCGTTACACAAACTTAACAAGAGAGGGCGCCACCCTCACTCGAATATTCTTTCTGCCTTTTTTGTACAATCCAGCGTAGTCGGCCTATCAATACCTGCAACCTGTAATACTGTAGAGGCATCACTCGAATATAGCCGACCCTCGTGACTTGAAGGTCTTTTAATGTTATACATGTTATACCAGATACTTAACATTTCCGTTATGCGGACAACCTACGTGGCTTACTAGTTAAACACGTTGTTCATCTAAATAAAGTTCCAGGTTCGATTCTGGGTCAGGCAGTTAGATATAATATATTTAACTACTGTAAATTCTTTTAGATAACTTTTTTCCTAACTTTACGTTTTTAGGATTACATTTTCGTTAAATCTTTAAATTGGATACGTATATTGGCTCTCTTTACCTACCTAGTAAGGAATAACGTGATAGTACACAAAATCTATCAATTTAGTACATATTGTATAAGTTTTTCTTATTTTAGAAGTAGATGACGCTGTGTATTAGAACTGACAGCATGTGAATTTTTTTTTATTTAATTCCCTAATATTTAATGTAATAATTCTACATGCATTTATTTATAGTTTTATTAATGGATCAATTTTTTTATAAAGTATAAAACACACATACAAAATTTTGATTAACACCGGTTGAATGTGTGATTCTATAACACTAATAAGGTATTTCAGTAAATGAATTATTATTATTATTGAGTTAGTGAACATTGTGATTTTTTATATTAAGATATTGTAAATTGCTTCTATATATTGTAATTTAATGTCCATTTTTTAACTTAAAATATACTAAAATATATAATAAGATAATAGTGAATTTCCATTTATTCGACATAAGTGCGTATTATAAATTACACATTTATTCCTATCTTTATTTTATAAACACCACTAACATTATCATAACAAGTTTATAACAAGTATACCCACATATTAATATAATTCATAATGTATTAATAACTTAAAAGATTAGGAACATATCGTTATACAGATATGTAGGTAAATAGTTAAAATATTTTAATAAATTCAACGACCTGAAATTTAATGGACGCGGTGTCAATGTCGGTAGTTTTCCCGCGGTTGGGCGGGCGGCGCGTGCGACGACCCACTTCGTAACGATTTGTTCCGATTAGTGATTTCTCGTACACATGACTTTTTTTATATATTTATACGTAATGATAGGTGTATGATATGCAGATACAAATTCATTCAACGTATAGTCTAATTATTGGCATATTATAATTAGAAATTTTGGATATTTCTATATGTGGTGGAAGTAATACATTTAAGTAATATATCTTTAAATTATACCTGTATATTAATTTACAGGTATTCTATATGAGATTTTTTAAGTATTAAATTTAATAAATGTTTATGTTAATATGTAGAATAAATACTAAGGTATAAAGTATATTAAAATAAACTATACTTACTTGAAATTCAATAGATACTGTAAATATTTTATATATACTTTGTATTTTCAATAAAATTTTATATAACTACTTCATATTTTTTATGTTCTATATATATACTTAAGACTCTAGTATAATTTTTTTATCATTAAAAAAACTGTACATACCGCTCGATCTCCACAGGATGCCGAAAAAAGAAAAAAACAGCAAAACGTTCCAACACACACACAGTTCGCACACACAATCCCACTGAAACCACGTGGTCGTCCGTGAAACGACGCGGGAGGTGCGCGCGCGCCGTTCTCTCAATGACAAGTGTTTGCCACAGGTGGCTCTGCCTCCCTCTAACAAGGTCGCGGTACCCCCTCCACGCATTTCACCCGGAGAAAGTTTACCTACATACATACCAAATATCCGAACTGATTGAGCTGAATTAAAGCTTACGTTGCGATGATGAATGGGCTGTGTGTAACTTCGGGTGGTCATAGGTCGGTACGCTCCGGCAAGGATAAGACTCGAGATTACCGGCTCGCTGTCTGTGAATGATGATTTTTATTTGCGTTGACAATGATATCATTAATCATATAATTTGATAGCGTTGGAAAGAGACATTGTTTTATAATAGGCCTTTATTTAACACTAGCTTTTACCCGCGACTTCGTCTGTATAACCGGATATATATATATATATTGTAATATATATATATATATATATATATATATATATATATATATATATATATATATATATATTATACTTATATTTTCAATAAATAATATGTAAATCTCTTCCAGACAATATAGACAAAAAAAGACAAAAATGCACTATTATATAAATATTATCATATACAAACATATATAGATACATACATACATATATACACATACATATATAATATATACACAATTAATCATATATAACATATACATACATACACATATTAACAGCATACATACAACAGAAAAAAATGAAAACGAAGAGAGAACACAGGAAAATAGTACTAAACTGAGAGGTAGTAAGATTTAACAGAGGTTTTGAAGCTAGTAAGAGTTTGAGCGCACCGAATAGAGGTAGGTAGTGAGTTCCATAGACGAACTGCCTGAACAGTAAAGGATTTAGAATAAAAGGAAGAAGAATGAGTGGGAAATTTAAGTCGGAGGTTATTGACACTGCGTAAAGTATGATCATTAAATCACTGAGAAACAAGAATCGGTCTTTTAGATAATCAGGAGCAGCAGGATTAAAAAGGATTGTGTAAAGAAGAGACAGGATATGCAGATTACGACGAAAACGGATAGAGAGCCACTTGAGTTGAGTACGAAATTGAGAAATGTGATCATATTTGCGAAGACCAAATATGAAGCGGATACATAAATTTTGGAGACGCTCAAGCTTGTTAATTTGCTCTTCGGTGAGGTCTAAATAACAAGAGTCGGCATAATCAAGAATGGGTAGGAGTAAGGTGTGTGCGAGCGCAATTTTGGTGTTAACTGGGAGGAAATTACGTAGTCTATTTAAGGCAAAAGTTGCAGCAAATATTTTTTTACTGACCTCCGAGATTTGTGGAGACCATGACAAAGTGTTATGTGTTATATAGTAAAATAAGAAAAATGCGTGATATACATATAATTCGTCTCCGTAAATAATCCTCACTAATTTAATAAATGTGAAAGTGAGTTTGTTTTTTTAATAGATGAAAATGGAATGGTCGCCCCGTCTGCGGGCGCCAGTCAGGGATAATAGTTGAGAATGAAGCAGGTCAGTTGGTACATCGTGATGAGTTTATCAAAAACTAATCACGATGGTTTCCAAAGGCAACAGCGTGGAGGTCGACCTATTAAGGTATATTGCTAGTAATCGATCTATTGGATCTCATTACTAACATTCCCTGTCCTCACAAATGAGTCTGTTTGTTTATTACATTATAACATCTTAATAGCTTAACCAATCAGTATAAAATTTATTATACATGTACTATATAGTTTGGATATGGTTGTAGGCTACTTTTTATCCCAAACAGTAAATATATCCCAGTCGCTCGGTAAAGTCACGGATAAATGCTTGTAGAAATATATATTTCATTGCTCCCTCGGAAAGTTTCAAGTAGACAACTTAGCACAAACAAAAGTTTCAAGAAGGAAAACACACAGAGAAAATAATGGGCGGCCTTATCACTAAAAGCCAGCTCTTCCTACTCTTGTGTGGAGAGATGTAATAAATATCTAGTAAGCGATATTTTAACAAAATTAATGTGAAAAGAATGATTGAAAAATGCCGTCGTTAAACACTTTTCTGGTACTTACACAACCGGGGCTGAATGTAATTCACTGTAAAAAGATATTATAAAACCATCATCATGATGATGACGATCTTATGATATTAATACTGTCATTATCATCATCATATCAGCCTTTAACTGTCCAATACTAAACATAGGCTTCCCAATAAAGAGAGTTTTGCCAGTAATTGCCTCGCTTGGCTTTTAATGTTTTGAAAAGGACGCTGCTGTCCATCTCTTGACTATTATAAAAAAATCATGCAAAAAACGGTTCTTTGCATGATTTTTTTATTGGTGAAATAAATCAAGGTGATATAACTTATGTTCACAATTAAAGGAAAAATGGTTAATAAAATAAATTTCATAGCTATGTCTTGTTTTCTGCAATGGACATTAAAAAGGTATCCAGACACAATCAATTTAAAGTGAACTTGGTCTTTTATATAATTTTTGGGTATTTAATGTTATGATGGAAATTTCCACCATTATGCAAAGTAGGGTAAGTTTCGTTAGTCGCTCTTTCGACAACCACGGGATTGGTGGGGGTGGTCCGTTCTATTCCGGAACCACGCGGTAACTATAAAATAATGTTAATTAATATAATATAGTTTATTACATTATTAAGCCTGGGAAAATATTTTATATGTAACACATTACTTCATAAAGCAATAACCAGATAGTTAAAAGAAGATCGTTAACAATTATAACGCATGTTCGTGTGCGATAGAAAGATTTCAAAATTGATATAGATATCGTTCGAAAGTTCATTGAGAATCGATTTGCTATGAGAATAACCTTTCTAATGGGTGTAAATAAACGATTGTGATGATATTATTATTACGTAAAATCAACTAAAATTACGTGTGAATAGAAATCGATTCGTTGCTTTCAAATATTATTTATAAATATTTATTTTTAATGTAGTAAAAGTTCGACTTCAGAAGGAGGTCCGAAATTCGGTTGTATTTTTTTCCACATTTATTATTTAATAATAACTCTGTTAGTTGTAAAATAATTTAGAAATTACTTATATACTATATCTGAAAGGATATGCCTAGAGATTAGTCTCATATAAATTTTATCAGAATCGGTTCAGTAATTTAGTTTTCAAATCAAAATAACTCGGAGAGAAAGGGATTGTTAGTAATGGAGACTGAGAATCCCATTGCTAGCAATATACCCAACCAGGTCGACCTTCTCCCTGGAAACTATCACGGTTAATTCCTGATGAATTAATCATGATAGGCTAACTGGCCTGTTTTCATTCTCATCTATCACCCTTCACTGGTGCTCCGCCAGCGTATCCTGTTAGCGCAGGCGGGGTTATCATACCATTTTCACCCATCAAAAAAAATATTCAAAATAACTCGTTTTGACACAATTGAAATCTTTTTCATTTTTTTTTCTCTTGTATATCTCTTCTCTCCTCCTCCATGTTTATATTTATTTATTTATTTATTCATAGAAAAACCAGGGCTACACGAGAGCAAATAGATACAATTTAGGATCACAAAATAAGCTACTAATTGGTTTTCACAAGTAGCTACAATATAGATAAAAGACGCTGTACACAAAGAAAATATGAAACATAAATTTTATGTCTGTCAAATAAAACCTTTTTATTTATTTTTAATATACAAAATTCAGTTATATTATACATTGATATATTATTTATTTAAATATATAGAATATTTTTGGATATTGAACGAAATATATGGACAATTAAACATAATTTGTACTCACATTAATATACACATAATGTCCGTCTTTACAGGTATATTTTCTTTTGAAATTTTATATTTATCTTAAACTTAAAATATACCTAAATGATATGATTTGATACATTCTATATTGCCTATTGCAGTCAACGTGCATAGGAATGATAGTACCATTCATTGTGATAATCTTTTGTTATTCAATCATTGCCCGTTTTGTTGTTGAATAAAGACATTAATATTAGTAATATTACAGAAGCGGATATATGGCGAGTAGAATTGATGGATTACAATGATTTATTTATTATTGTATAAGATGATTTGTCTCTGTAACCTTTGTTGTTGGCATATCATAATTATGATGGATTTTTGAGGTTATTTCCTGGAGGTGACAGAGTTAAAATAAAAATAAGACCATTTATTTTCATCCACAGGATATCGTAAGAGGTGTCTAAGTCAACGCATAATATTATGAGTGAATACCCAATATGAGATCGCTAAGAGGGGGGAGGGGGATTGTGAGCAATGCATACTACCAGTTCCATTGCTAGACCCTTATTACCATTTATTTTTTTATCATATATTACCATTACCCTGTCAGATCAACTTCCATGTTACTTTCTAGAGGGGAACCCTCTGGAAATTATCGTACTACATTTCAGATGTATTCATCACAATGGGCTAATTGACGTACTTATTCATTCTCATCTATCATCCCTCACTGGTACTCCAACAGCGTATACCGTTAGCGCAGAGTTACCATTCCATTATTATCTGTAAAAAAATTTGACTAGCGAGTTAATGATAGGCTATCAAAATAAACATTCGGAACTAATTTTAATGTTTTTATACTGGCATATTAATTCCAATTGTTAATGTTGTATCCATTATAAGTTAGCATAGCTTAGTAGCCACACAAAATGCACTGTTGATATTGCAAATTGCTGTCCAGCAAAATTCACAGGGATTGTTAATTGGCACTCGATACAATCACAGATACTCGTAGTACCAACACTGTGCTTTTAATTAAATGTACGCAAAGAAAATTTAATTGTGCAAATTCAGAGCGGTCGACTCATTTTACATTTTAAATCGTTTGTAAATAAAGGTAATTTTGACTATTTAGCGAATATCAACACAAATTTGGATAATTATCGATAGATAATTAAAGAAAAACACATAAAAGAATACCAACTTCAATTGTGACAATACCAGTTAATTTAATTTTAAAAACAAAACTATTGAATCGATTTTGTTAAAATTTTTGTGGGATCTGTAAGCGTGAATATCCTTTCAGATAAAAAAAGATCT